ATGAGCCCACCGCTGCCACACTTGCCTGCCCTCAGGGGTCTATTCCACTGCAGACACTGTCCCTAGCCTGTCAGGCCTGGTCATCTGGGAAACTGAGGGGTTGGAACAGTTCTGGGGATCTGAGGACCAACCAGGAAACCAGAAAAGGAAGAAGAACTGTGGAACTGAGCCATGCAAACGACATGCAAAGAGGGATGAACTCGCCAACTTAGATCCAGATGGCCATTCAGATCCCAGAGTCCCAGCCTAGGCAAATCCTCCTGCCTCCCCAGCCTGGGGGAGTACAAGCATCCCCTGAGGCAGGCTCTTCCTGAGCTGTCTGCTCCACTGCCGTCCCTAGAGAATGACGATGCCTCATGAAACTGGGATAGCACAGTAACGCCCATGCATCTATGCCATCTTTCATTTCCTGACAACCTATGTCTCTACTATGTGCCTGGGGCAGAGCAAGCATTTGTTCCTGGGTGGAGGACATTGGCCTCCATTAACTATAGGAAGACAGGGTGTCCCGGATGAGAGTATGGCATTGGGAAAGGGCCGGCTGACTAGCCCACACTTGGTTGTTTAGGATCTCCAAAGAAGGGATTTAAAGCCAGATAGGGACACCTAGGGTTACGTGAGAGGAAAAATATTCCAGAAAGATGAGATAGTTTTGCTAAGGTCTAGGTGTAGGAATGAGCTTGCCAAGGACCTGGACCCTGGAGCCAGTTGTCAGGACCTTGGAATCCAGTCTGTCCCAGGTCCCATGGCCCTGGAGGGTGGGATGGTGAACTGAGCTCAGAAGAATTTTCACTTACTATTATTCATGACCAAGCCCCTGAATGTTAGCCTCGGTGATGCCAGGATACCTCAAAGTACCTGTAAGCCCTTTCCTAATGGCTGTCATGCTTGCCTTTGGACCAGGTAGAAGCCACTGCCCCTAACAGATAGGGCAATTTCCTGTGCCCTGCTCCTTTTTCATTTTGGGCTGTGCTGGTACCCAGTGTGGCTTAATGACTATGGTATTAACACCTGTGAAGAAACCCCGCCCTTATTGACAGCACCTATCCAACCTGTCCACCAGCTCTGAGCTGACAGCACCTGTTGAAGGAGCTGGAACACTAGGAACCGTCATACAGACGACCTCGGAGACCCATGCCATGACCCAGCCTTTGTCCTTATAGCTGCTCCATGTTCAACCCCAATCCAACTTCCTGAGGGAGACAGGAAGTCACCCCAGCAGATCCTTCACTTTCCACAAGGGGTATCTGGAACCTGGCATGGATAAGGCTTGCCTAGGCCACCAGGAGCAGGCAGAGCCAGAGAGGGAAGTCATACTGCTCTCTCAACAGCTCAGTGGGGCAGATAGGACTTCCCTTTCTCCATAGCTGTGGCTGAACCCTAACCCCAGGTGCAAAGTGCTGAATGTCCCATGCTCTACGGTTCCATGGAGAGGTCGCTCAGCAGTTGAGAGCACTTGATACTCCTGCAGAGAATCCAAGTTTGGCATGGGTTCCCTGCACCCATGCCAGCAGCTCACAACCACCAGCTCCAAGGGTTCCAACACCTCTGGTCTCTTCAGGCACCTTCACACACACACATGTAATGTAAACTTAAATGAATCTTTAAAGTTTCAATAGCTACTTGGACAGGGGCTGCAATGACCTTGGTGCTGTTTGCATGGACCTAGAACAGCAGTGTGTATACTCGCCACCATAAAGAGGAAATGGGTTGTTGACCATTCCGGAAGGCCCACACTCCCTCCAAAACCAAGGGCTTGAAGGATTTGAAGAGAATGTCTGAGTCTCCTACCAGGTGAGGTACCATCAAGTCACTCCCAATGCATCAGGAGCTTTGGCAGGGAGCAGGGAAGAGGCAGAAGTGACAGCTTGCAAGCCCACCCTCAGGGGAGGGGTCTGGACATCAGGAAGTCAGTTGGGCTTAAGCAGGAGCCCATCATTGGGGTGGGAAATCCCAGTAGCAAAGACTGGAAGGCTGAACCAACTCTGCAGGATACTAGTGGGGCAGGAGAAAAAGATGGGCAATTAGCGACACAGAGGAATAGAATAACTTGCCTGAGTTTACACAGCTGAGAGGTGGCAAAGCCAGAATGCAAAACTAGGGAGTCTAGGTTCTTAACCCTGCACAGACTGTCCTTCTGCAAATAAGGTGCACTTAGAAAAAAAAAGAAGAAAAGAAGGAAGGAAGGAAAGAAGGAAGGAAGGAAGGAAGGAAGGAAGGAAGGAAGGAAGGAAGGAAGGAAGGAAGGAAACCAATGCATGTCTCTACTTCGAGGGAAAACTCGGTTACCAGAATTTTACTTGGTGAGGTTTACATTTCCAGATGCTGTTGATCTTGAATCCTACCATGTCTGTGTACACCAGCTGCCTAGCCCAGCCTGCCTCTTCCAGAAAATGGACACCCTTACTAGCCACAGAGATGACACCCTAAAGCAAGGTAGCATACCAGGTCCTGCCTCTCTAGCCTGGGGGTTGGATAAAGCTAAGTGAACTGGGTCTTAAGTCACCTCTCTGGTCTTGCTGGTGTGACCAACATGAGTCTCCTTTGTCTTATACTGTCTTGATGCAAATGTGAGACACAAATGAGCCTTTTCAGCCCCCACTTTTTCTGCCATGTCCTTGTCCTTACAGGCATCAGAGCCCAGTATCCTCGTTTGCTGCTAGCAGCCTCCCCTTCCCCCGCCCCATGTCAACAGCACCCCAAATACTGCTCCAGTGCCTGCTGACCCGTGGCTTCTTCACCCTTCTTCCTGTGGCCTCAGTGTTAACTGGTTCTAAGGAGACAGCCAAGGTCTTCTCTTTGGAAGAGCCAGATGTCCTCAGAGACCAGGGCAGAGTTTCTGGTATGCTGGGCTCCCTGGCATATTGCATTTATCTACTCGTGCACAGACAGACATACAGGCAGACAAAACACCCTTACACATAAAAATAAATAAATGATTTAAAAAAAAATAGGACCTACTGGATGCTGGGCCTGAGGAGCCTGAAGAAGACAATAGAAATGCAGTGTAGGAGTCCCTCAGTGAACTACAGAGATGAGAGTAGGAGTGGACTCACTCAGAGCCTAGTGGGTCATGTCAGCCCTTGTGCTCAATGCCTGGCCTTGTACGCTCAATTTGGCCCTGATGACTCAGTGACATCAGCCATTCTTCATGACTTGTGGGCAGAGCCCCATTGGCTCTAGGGAAGGGGTTACAGAAGACAGTAGGATGAACAGACACCTTTTCCAAGAGCTTGGAAAGCAAGATCCGGCTTGTTCAGTATCTGATGCCCAACCCTGGGATCCCCCTCATTAAGAGGAGTCCCCATTGTAAATTTCCAGATGCCACCAGACAGGCTTCCCTGAAGGGCAGTGTTGAAACATTAAACAGTGGCCACTTCCACGTCCAAGTTCCTTTTCTGAGCCAGTGCAGAGGGCTGGTGACCTTACTGAGGAACCTGAAGAGAGTAGGAAGGCTTACCCTGAGAGACAGCAGAAGCCTGAAGCGGGAGTGTGAGCCCAGACAATGGGTAGTCTTCAGCAGCCTTTGCTTGGATGGGCGATCACACCCTCCGGCCAGCAGTGAGTCACCTCAGCTCTTACCCTTAAGTTATTTTTGAATCTCTTTTCTAATTTCTCCTAGAGTTACTGGAACAGGTTTTCAAATGCCTATTTTATGAATTCTGGTTTTCTGACCTCATTCCTTTTTATCAAAATTTCAAAATGCATTGGCAAGGACAGGTATTCCCACATTATTTTACAATGATTTCTGAATCTGCAGTCTCTCCATGCTGTATCACTATATTGTCTAAGCATAGATTCAGACCTGTGCTAAACATTTTATGGAAGGTTACAGTTGCTGAAATAATTATGTTTGACATTTACATTAGGCGTAGTAACCATGGTAACAGCATTTGTGGACAGTGGCTGGAGACCCCAC